CCGCCTAAGTCACGCACAGCAGGTCCCTTTTCTGTTTCTGGTCCCTTCTCTACTACTCCCCCTCCCTCAGTAATGAGAAGGGAAAGAAATCATTCATGGGCCCCTCTCACCATAAGCACTGCCCCCACAAAGCTCCTGAACCTCTTCCCAAGCTCTATAACAAGGACTGCCCTCATTCTTCCCCCAAAGATGCCCACTCTCCCCGTCCTTTTCACCGGGCCTGGTGGGGGAAGAGGAATAAGGTCAAATGATTCGCCAGAAACTTGCCAAATTTCAGTCATCACACAACTTGAGTTGGGGCCCAAACTTATGTGTCCAGAAGGATGGGAAAGCTGAGGAAATTTGGCCTAAAGGGGGTGCCAGGAGGTGTGGAATACATGTATCCTACAGAATTGCAGAATATATATTCTTTTTATATAAAGTATGTTCTATAGCTCTCTCACCTCATCCCAGGCCAGCTCCTCTGTTTGAATGCCTCAGTTTCCCTGCTGTCAGCTGCCCTTGGCTTACCCTGAGCCCAGTCCTGCCCAGGCATCCTGGCTGGCTCCTTGGGGCTCTTCCTGCCCACCAGCCCCCGTCACGTTTCCCCTTGACTACTCTGGGCAGGGCTCTCTCTGTCTCTGTCTGGCTAACCTGCCTTTGACTGGAAGGATCTGCCCTGTGACCCAAACGGGCACATCGCCCAGGGGGCTCCCTGGTACTACAGGGCAGAGGCTCTCCCTCCCCTCTCACCACCTTGGTTGAGTCAGACTTTGGTCGGGGGTGGGGGGGCACAGTGTGACTCACCGGGCACTCTTTTCCTGAGCTCAGCTTCATTCTGAGACGATGAGGACAAAAGGGCTGGTGACAGGGACACTGAGTCAGGGGAAGACACAGTCCTTCCCCTGGGACCCTGGGTTTGGGCTTCAAATGAGACTTTTCTACCTGTACCGTGGGGCACCCTCACCCCAAGCCTTCTCCCTAATTGGCGTGGGGAGTGTCGTTACTTCCTCTCAGTCCGTCTGCGCACAAGCACACACACTTCCCTTCCCTGTCCGCAGGTGGACAATACCCTGGGCTAGGAGCCAGGACTCCCAGGCCCTGTGAACAGCCCTGCCACCAAACAACCCAGAAGATTCTTTCAACACCGGGTCAGTGTGTTTTGCCCTAACCACTGGCCTCAGTTTCCCCTTGTTTCTCTTTAGTCCTGGGGGGCGGGGGCATATTTCATCTCTGACCGGCGAAGCTTAGTTCTGGGGTGTTGGGAGCCCTCCCTCCCCCCATTTTCCAGCTCCGCTAGTCATCACTCCAGCGCGGCGGCTCCGGGGCCCGGGCCTCCCCGGGGTAGTAGACCCGGGCCGGGGGCGAGGGCGCCCCTCCCGCCGGCGGGCTGCGTGGGGGAGGGGAGGGAGGGAGGCGGGGCCGGCGGGCTCGGCTCGGCCCCC